TTAGTTCTTTGGTGTGTCTCCCGGGGGTAAAGTGAATTTCTTCATCCTATATTCTATATTCCTATTCCTATTGCTTAATCATATATGGCCTCCCAAAAGTACACAAACTGAATATACCAGCAAGGCCAATCTTGGATATTGACAAAATATTGAAAATCGGTTCTCGTAGCTCGGGTGAACTGAATTCCATTTCGCCTGTTCGCCGAGCTTGGCAATTTGTTTGCAAACAAATTGCCAAGCTCGGCGAACAGGCGAAATGGAATCTTGGATATGTCGAACTCCCTACATCATACAACGGTCAAATGGTTAGTGCGATTACTAGAACCCGTCAGACAACGAACCTCCGCCTACAGTTTGAAGGACACATCCGAATTCGTCGAACAGGTCAAAGACATTAACATTTCATCACAAATAATGTACTCTCTCTGGATGCGACCTCCCTATTCACGAACGTCACACTTCTAGAGACTATTGAGTTCCTATGCAAACATATGGCAGAAAACCACTTAGAAATCGGAATACCCCTTCGCAGTCTGAAAGAGTTTCTGCTTCGGTGCACATTTGGCGTCCAGTTTCTGTTCAATGGTCGCATCTACCAACAAACGGACGGAGTCGCAATGGGGTCTCCGCTGGGACAATTGTTGGCAGACATATTCATGGGGAAACTCGGGATTCCAATCTTACAAGACACCATACACGAACTCAGTGTGTACTACCGATACGGGGATGATATATTTTTCACAACAAATCAACCAAACAACATTGAGTTTGTGTTAGAGACTTTCAACGCAAGTCATAACCCAATCAAATTCATTATCGAGAAAGAGTACAACGATCGAATCCCTCTCCTGGATGTTCTACTTATCCGAAACCCAGATGAAACTATCCAGAGAAGAGTATACAGGAAACCTACATGGACGGAACAATATGTGAATTTCGATAGCTTTGTGCTATTGAAACGAAGGAGAAATTTCGTGCGATGCCTAGCTATGAGAGATTTGAAAATTTGATCTCCCAATGCGGTAACCAAAGCACTTGAACACATCAAAGGCTTCTTTCTCGGGAACGGTTATCCAGATAATTTCATAGATAAATATCTAACGGAAAGACCCGCGCGACCGGTTGTGCAAAAGATCAACAAGAAACCACTCTACCTGCAACTACCATTCAAAGGTGATAACGCGGCTGAGTGGCTTGCACGACGAATCAATCAAGCGTTGCGTCAAACATTTACAGCAGCCGAACTACGCGTGAATTTCAGTACGTCGTCCGCAATACGGTTCCACCTCAAAATAAACTGCCCCCAAGCCGCATCCATATGCCTTTACGCGTTCACTTGCTCTTGTGGAGCGAGCTACATCGGCCGAACTACGCGGCAGCTATAGAAAAGGATACGAGAACACCAGCCCCACTGGTTTAGACACAATGAAAATAGAATGGCGAAAAGTGCTATCTGTCAACATTTACAGGAGACACGGCACACTATCAATGTTGACCAGGCTTTCCGTACGATTTACCACACGCCATCATCTCTGCCGAAAAGCCTTCATTTTATCATTCTATGTACAGCCGAGGTGATAGCTATCCAAACATTTGATCCCCCCCCCCTGTGCGACCAAAAGTAGTTCTTTCGGGTTTTAGTCTTGTCGTGGCCTCGGATGAAGAAACCCACTCCACCCACGGGGGACACACCAACGAACTAACCGAGATGAATATCAGGTAAACAATCTCAACATGAATTGTGTACATTGTCTGATGCGATCAAAACCAGATCGGTAAACCCAGCTAACCGTATATAATTGTAATGGCCCATTGATGAATTCATCGAAAAACAGCTTGTTTCGCCTACCGAACTTTGTTTTCAATGTGTCAATGGGCATTTTTTATTTATTACAATTATTTATCCAATAAAATGTGGGTGAAATGATTGAAAGAGAAACAATTCCACACCCTTTGAACAACATCGCGATCTAATTTCTTCGGTGTTGCTGAATTCCACTCTCCTTCCTCATTTGAATTCCATCAAATACCCTGAACTCTGCATAAAGTGTGCTCGGTGATCAAGTGGATAGTGTGCTTGCATTCTACCAGTGAGGTCCCAGTTGGGTACATGGATTCCCGCGGATAATGAAATCCAAACTGGTCGAAACAGCTGTCCGAGTGATTCCCAGCTTTTCACCTCCCGCTTCACTATCACGACGAGCTCATTGCATTTAATTAACTCAAATCCTCCAGCACTCGGAGTGTTGTATTAGCAAATTTATTTTTTGACTATTACACTCAGACAGGCCATAGCAATCAATTATTGATACATCTTGTCCATCATTTTCAACTGTCGATTCCTTCGTTTACTTGAAAAATACTGCGTCACTATTTGGCAACTATCAACTGGGTTTCTGTTATCGCTGTCAAATTGTTAGCTGATTGACTATGAAATATCCACGACAGTGGAGACGGTTGAAACGAGTGCCATCCTCAAAGTCCCCGTATATCTGTTGCACACAGACCTTTCTGATAGCCGATACAGCTCAGTTACCCGGTTGCCTTTTTGTAAAATCCCTGCAACAGTGAATTCGTATGGAAACTCTTCAATCCCTTACTTGGTCCATATTCTTTCTTATCGACAGTGCATACAGCAATCGGGGAATTGTGTATGCAGCTAGGCAGCTTTGAGATGATATTTAGAGTCGGCGTTCCGTAAATCGCTTGCCAGCTCTGCCTCGAAAGTGTCGTTAGCAAAAATGCGAATGTGTTCTAGCGTGTGTGCGCGCGCGCGTTCGTGTGTGCAAATGTGTCAATACCTCCATATAAGATGCAAACAGAATACCGAACGGAACAATGTGGGAAAGCTTTTCATGTCCACATTAGGTCTCTCCCGGTTCCGATTGATATTGACACGAGGGAAACGTAATTGTGTTGGACCGGACTTGTGTGTGCAGTCCATTAGAATTATTGTCTCTTACGTTTGGTCGCATACTCTGTCCCCTTTCACGAATCTGGTGGATACGCATGAAAGTGGATGGGACAGTAAAATGCGCATCTGCAATTGTCCCCCACCCCCACCACCTCTGTGCCACCGCCTACAAGTGGGTATCTCATTTATTCACTGTCAACAACCGGTCCATAAATCGGTCGTCAAAAAGTGGTTTTTATTGCCCTGGCTATTGCTGTCCCGATTGCACCTTTCTTGCCTTGAGGGTTGCTCTCTATATTTGACCTCGATAGTTTTTTTTAGTTCCCTGTGAGGCACTACTAGTAATACTACTACTACTACTACTACTACCACCACTGCCACTAAGGTCTAATGTGTTTCGCATGTGTCGGCCCGTTTTGTGAGTCTGTTTGTCGTTCGATCCCTCCTCATTCCTCCTCCCTCCCTCCCTCACACACACACACACACACACACACACACACACACACAGGGAAGCTTATACACCAGGATCCGGAAAATATTATTTTCCAGACAGAAACTTTATTTGTCGGTCTGTGGCAGCCCATGGTGAATGATCGGAACGCATCACGTGATCGTCACAAACTCATTGACTTTTGTTCTTTTTCCAACTCAAACAATAAGCAAGGTTTATGAGAGGAATGAAATTTTCCTCTTCTTTAAAGTCTGTGTTAAAAATGCCGATGATGGGATAACGATGCTGACGATCAGAAGTAAAAAAGAACAAATAGGATCTACTCATCTACCTACCTATGAATATTCTGTTGCATTGGTTGCATTTCGTCTACCCATCAGAATAAGTGATCAACAGACAATGTCTAAGATTTTCCCGAGAGGCTTTTCATATTTTACCCAATGCAAGGATGTTAGATGTTTCCAAGGCCAATGGAACGGCAGATCGGAGCAGTTATTCAAATCCAAAGAGAACGTATATCTTCGAAATTGTTGTGTGTGTGTGTGTGTGGGCTGGAAGGAAAAGCGGAGTTGGTCTATGTATCTGTACTGGTATTCACAGAAAACAGTGAATTGGTGGATTAACCACTAAGATTTGCAAGCAAGCCAATGAAATGTCAAGCAGTGAGGCAAAATAGCGCCAGTCCAATGAGACATCACGCAAGTGAAATTCTTCCATATCCGATGTACTCCGGGGGTATTGGCCCACTGACTGTTGAAACAGATTTCAATGTGTACCGGTGCGACACACTCACAAATGGCAGCCGCGACGAGGAAGACAACGATTCTGTTCACTGTGTTCATCTGGATGGTTTGAAGAAGCGGTAGGAAAATGAAAACGAAGCACGTAGTTGTTTCCCTTGGTCCCCAGTTTCCCTCAGTCTACATTAGACCGAATTCAACAGAAGTTTGGATGTCAGTTTCACTTAGATGACCTTATTTATTGCGTCACTGGAAACAATAAAATTGGCTTTAAATGGTGGTTTTCTCCCTGTCGTGATTTGATATCCCATCATGTGTGCACTACATAAACAATGATTGCATTGAGGTGCTATTTTGGGGTTCTTAGTTTCATCCACTTTGTTTCGAAATAGTCCCATATTGTTCCCTTTATTTGTCTGATATAGTTTCATACTATTCCACATGCGGCATTCATAAGCAAACCGTTTCGTATCACTTTACCTGACGAGTGAACTGAGCGGTTGGGGTCTCGAAGTTAATTAGAGCCTATTTTGGACCGAATTCTGTGTCTATGCTCATGGGGGTCCCTGAATAATCTGCGTTCAGTCGTCCCCCCCCCCAAACCAATTAAGAAGACTGAAGTTGTCTGAGAAAGTTTACACGGTTTACTGCAATTTTGCACAAAATTTGGATCGTTTTTACACTTTATGACATGCGTATACACCACGGAAACACATGAAACCAGTACTTTTGATATATCAGAAAATTTCGTTGCACACTCTGATGCATGTTTACATGTGTAGGAAAAACCCATAGAACCCATAGTTATGCACCAAATTATCTTGTCACCATTTGTAGCTTTCTATCGACTACGCAGTCATCTATCATTCTCTTTTAATTCCCATACACCTTTCAGGCAAGATCTGTGTGGCAAAGAAAAATCAATGTTTGGCTCCCAAATCCGCTCGTGTTCTCAACGGAGCACGTGGTGTGGTGAATGGAGAGAAGTCCGATTTGGATGTATTATGGGAACCACTTCATCTTTCTCAGGATATATCTGGATCACATTCGCACAGAGATCATGAGACTGTCTCGGATAAGACAAATTTGTCCAAAATTGCCGGTAAAAAGGAGGTGGCGAGAAGCGACAATAATGAAAACAATGAGTCAGAGACACACAATCTGACATCTTCCGACATCACAGTGCCCCTGGCCGACTCCAGACACGAGAGGAGGAGACGGAAACGTGGCAGAAATGGAGTCGGAAGTGTACAGTGTTCGGCACAGAATCAATCAGACAAAAATCCTCCTCTTCAATTGCAAACAAATGCGGAGACTGTGAACGGGACATGTGGAAAATTAGGTCCTGACACCCATGCAAATCACGATGAAAGTTCCAATCAGTTGCGATATGTTTATAGACTATTTCAGTCCGACTCGCCCAAAGTGAGTGAGATACGAATGGCGCTTCCTAGCGTGCGAGCCCTGATACAAGATCAGACATTATTGACTAGTGACTCACGTGACATGGTTCGACCAATCGGTGATATCGTTGGTCGACTTCAACGTGCATGTGAAACACTTTCCCCCGAAGAACCTTTTCCAATTACTGTGGCGGAACGAAAACTCCTTCGGGGTGCATTGCAAGCTTCAAAGTTAGTGCGTGCAGAGGACGAACAGTTGAATCTCATCGATGGTCGACAGAATGGGGACCTCATGCATGCAACAGAGCAATTGGGCTTAACGGAGACACAAGTGAAAAAGGAAGTTGCCTCACTGGTAGACCTACTTCTTGACACAGCAACCGGGAATGAAATAGATAGGGATAAATATGCACAAATTAAAGAACGCATAAGTACAATAATCAAAGAAGCAGAGGATCCGAATTCCACTTTGCTGACTGAATTGGCCGCGCCACCAACATTGCTTCAAGATCTGGAACGATTTTCCAACCGCATGGATAAGGCTTTTACTCAAGCGGATAAAGTAGAGATCGATATGGAATCACACAATGTGATGGGTGACTTGGTGACACGTTTGAATCCATTGATTTCTTCGTTCGATTCCCAATCTCTTGAGTTCGGTCTGCAAACATTGTACGATGTGGCAATCGGACCGGAAGCTTTCCGCACACATCAGATCAAACTGGACCATTTCACTTGTATGGCTGTGATGCGAGCGCTTGAGCAGGCTGTGAGAGATCATCAATTAGATCGGTCCGCTGGTGCCGCCTTGGCCAGAAGCAATCCGAAAAATCTGTGGCCTGTCGTCACACATCTAATCCACCGATTAGCCAATGATTTATCCCACGAGATGTCTGAAAATCAGACAGACTGCTCCATCCTCGACCCGAAAGAGGGCATACTTGTGCAGCATATTCTTTTGGGAGCATTATCAAATCACGGTGTTGAACGTTCAGTTGAAGAACAGGAAACAGATTCGGCATTCTTCCAGTTTTGCTCTAGGCAACCGGATACACAGAGCACATCAGAACGAAACGGTCACTATGCCGCTCGTTCACCAGAGTTGTTAAGCCCTATCAGTGAATTNACCAGCACATACGATACAGAGAATACAATACCTGAGACAGTTGGTATTTCTCCTCGAACAAAAACGCAATCAGTCCCTGTATCCCCCGGAAGACCAACAGAAAAAACTCATTTATCCGATCAGGTGAGCAGTCCTCAAACTAAAGATTTGAAAGTCAGTGGGACGAAAGTGATGGATGAAATTGGACCTATCGAACCCACATCTACACCTATTTACCTGACCGGGGACGTTATGACGGTGGATATGTACGGTAATTCCGTATTGACCACCCAAATACAACCTGATTCTAGCACGGATGCAGTTCTCATTGGCCGTTCTGTAGCAAGACAATTGGCCACATATCTGCGATCCAAACTGTTAGATAACCTTGCCTCAGGAAATACCCAAACTCCAAATCAGGATTATTGTGCATCTCTTGATCACCTGTCTACAGTGGTTGATCAGGGCTTGATGAACCTCACAAAAGATGACCATATTGCCTTACCTGTACAGGATGTAGCGATACTTGAATCCGTGCTGCTTTCTGATGATACACCGTACGCGCGAATCTTGAAACGATCATTAGAACCTCAACTGGCCTCCCGAGTCACAAACAACCGGCCCATAGAAACAGTTCAACAACAGCAACCGATACAGCAACTGAATGTGCCAGATCACTCAGCTGATATGAAAAATTTAGTGGCCAATATCACTTCGAAGATCGGACAATATTTGACAGCTGATGAAGTGAAACAAGTGGCACGGGTGATCTTACAATGTCCCCAAACCGATTCAACCAGTTCTGACGAGTTTGTTCAAATGGCAAGTGATTGGTTAGAATGTCCTCGACCTATACTGATCACTGAAGCTATGGCAAACCGATTGCAATACACATTAAATGTAGATTGTCCGGACGTGAGAATGCTAGCAGAAAGAGCCAGTTCAAAGCATAAAAGTAAAACTCAGACAATGAGTACAATTACGGCCACTACGCCAGCTTTACAAAGCGCATATCCGCTGGACATTCCCAGATCACACGACCTACAACCAAGTGGCTTGGAGCCTAGTTTGGCACAGATAACCAATGCCAGTGAAGTGATCCAGTCACTCGCAGCCACGAAAGTTGACTGGAGTCGATGTGATACGGGCGACAGAGAAGCAATAGCCGAATGTGTGCAAGTCTTGCATGACACTTATCCCCAGCTGAACTTTCCCGATTCTGTGGATGAGAAAAACATCGCGAAAGTGTGGCCTTTGGTAACAGCAGCGATTAAGAATATTTCAACCGTGACAGATTATCCTCAGAGGTTGACCGAAGCGGTAGAAAATCTATCACTACACGCACGAGTCGACAATGCCCAAATGAAGGATACCACGGATGCAGCACGGCTGGCGGATTCCATCAATGCGTGTGTAGTAAAACTGATCTCCCAGCCAAATTGCTCGCTTCAACCGGCTCAGTTTACAGCCGCTCTGCAGATAGCACAGCGTCTCAATCAAATGGCACAAATCAGCGATGCGTGCGATCTTCTTCGGCCTTGTGAACAACAAGTAATTGCCTCGGTCTGTCATGCGATATCTTTGGCCGAGTCACCCAACATTGAAATGAATCCGAGTGCTAGTGACCGTCTTCTACCTGTTGTTCAAGGTCTATTAAATGAACTGGTGGTGTCAAGTAGTGTGAATGCATCTGGCCAGGTATGCTTGATGCCCGGAACATGTGCTGCGCTGCTAACTTGCTTACCGCAAGAAGCCTCAGACGTAAGCGATCGACAAGCTGTGGCTCTGATTAAATCGCATCTTTTAAAGAAACTAGTAGAATGTCCATCGAACACTGAAACCTACACAGTTGAACAGTGGAGAGACCGAGTTAAGGAGCTTATTCATCACAACGCTGGTTCAAGTGTACTACCTTCAGTGGAATTGAACACGTCAGTAGAGGTGCTCAAATCAGAACCACTG